CTGGGGCAGTGTGGGGGGCGGTGCCAGGGGTTTCTTCTGCTTGTCGGTGTTTTGTTGATGGGCTTTTGCGCCGAATAGTGGTAGGGTTGCTTTCGGGTGTGCTCTATTTTCTCCGACGAACTATTTTCTTGCTACTATTAATGGAGAATTACTGTGTTCTCCGGACCCTCTTATGGCGGAGGCTATGGCGTGTCGTGAAGCTCTATCATGGATCAAGACGCTTGATATTCATAACGTGGAGATCTTGATGGATTGTCAACGTATGGTTTCAGCAATTTCAGATACTTCATTCACTCTTCTTATTTTGGTTCGTTAATTGTTGAATGTAAGGCCTTGTTGGTCGGTTTTTGCTCTAGTTCTATCAGTTTTGTTCGTAGAGAGTTAAACGTTGTTGCTCATTCACTTGCGAGGAGAGCAGAGGCCCGTCGTTCTGTTTGGGTTTTCACTCCCCCGGATTTTGTAATCCCTCGTTTACAATAATGAAGTTTCTTTACTTTCAAAAAAAATTACTCCCTCTGTCAACTATAAATCTTTCCAGACACTATTCACAGGGTCAAACTTTACTCACTTTGTTTGCTCAATTTTACTAGTCATTTCATAAAATAATATAGTCTTGTCACCTCTAGTTTTGTAGAACTTTTCATGTAATTTATTACTATATAAATTTTATTTTAAAATTTTACTCCTATAATCAATTAAATTGAATTGAAAATAAAGTCGGTCAAGCCTCGTAACGCGTAATGGAAAGATCATACATGGACGGAGCGAGTATACAATAATATATTTAACACTAAGCTTTATTGTAAACGCCAACCCATTCATGCTACTTACTAAAATCGTGATTTTCAACTCAACTCGTGTTCCATTCGGTCAATCAAATCTGTAATTAATTATGAAGTGAAATATCAATTTAAAACCAAACTTTTTTCTTATTTTTAACCATGCAACCATATGGCCGGAAACATCATGTTTGATTGCTGCTGTTCATGAAAATTCTGAGCCTACGTCCAGTTCTTATTCGACGCATCTCATTTAAAGTTAAGACACGCATGATCTTAGTTTAATTCAATTTATTTAAGTATAGTCTACATACTTCAAAAAAAAAAGTCTACATTAATAAACAAATCAGTGTGTGTCTATACATACATACATACATAGATATACACACACACACACACACACACACACACACACACACATATATATAATTTTACCAAACATTTTTAACGATCAGCCAACTCATCTCTCATCCTGCCGGTCAAACCAGCTAAATTATACAGTCATTTAGAACAGCCGATACACTTAAAGGACCACGAATTGCTTAATATGAACATCTAAACAAACCATCACGTTATATGGGCTACATGCCGTTTTCCATACGAACAACTAGGCTAATTAAAGACTAATGGCCATGGGCCGCTAGGAATGAACTTCGAGACAGACACCTTGACAAAAAATAGTCATTTTCCTTTTTTGGAAATATATTCGTGTCTCATTTTTTTGTTCTTTATGTCATTTTCAATCATAGAATTTCACTTTTTTTGAAGACGATATCAAACAAAATGTGGGCTATTGAAGGACTATATATATATATATATATATATATATATATATATATATATATATATATATATATATATATAG